ATTACACACACACACACACACACACACACACACACACACACACGTATAATGTATTTCATTCAAATACCTATCATTGGACATTTGTCCTAATGTACAACGTTAAGTTAAGACTCAGACGTTTTGTTTGTTTCGTTTTTCCCCCTGTGAGAAAACCATCTCTCCTGGTTTAGTGAGATGTCACTGTGTGCTAAGTATTCAGTCATGTGTGTCTGGACCGTGTCTTCTATGCTGAGTCCCTCTGTCTGAGCTCCAGTGTAAAGCTTTCTGAAGGACAGAGCTTCACCTTGTGTTTTAGTGCCCAAGAGGTCTAGCTGCACCGTCTGTCCCCCATTGCTCTTCCTTCTGGATGCCAAGCCTGCTTGTTTGTTATTTAAATGAACTGTATAATCACTCCCAGGCCTGAGGTGATGCATTATTAGGAAAACATCTACATTCTACAAGATTTGAACTTTCTTTCCTTGGACCTCACAGCCAGAGTTAATAACACATCTTCAGGTTTCTTAAGACTTAGGACTGCTATCCTACTGTGTGCTCAGCCCGCTGGCTTAACCTGCCTTTAAGGGGACAGGGTTGCAATCAACCTGACCTGCCTTGGATTTCCAATTGGATCTAGTGTTCTTCTGTGTTTTTCAGGATGTTTACTGGTTTTCTTCACACAGGCCTCAACTCCCCTTAGTAAGATGTAAACACTTTTCTGTGTGTCTTTCCCTGTCATTAATGTGGGCTTCAAAGCCAGGAGTGTAGGCAAGACACGTACCTGTAATCCCAGCACAAGGTAGACTGAGAAAGGAGGACCAGGCAGTTGAGTGCCTGCTTTATACAGTCAGATCTTGTTTTAAAAAAAACAAAAACAATAAAAAACCACAGGAAAACAAATATAAAGAATTAAGCAGACAAATAATAGAAATAATGGTCTTTGCCTGGCGTTGGTGGTGCATACCTTTAATCCCATCACTCAGGAGGCAGAGGCAGGTGGATTTCTGTGAGTTCGAAGCCAGCCTGGTCTACGGAGCGAGTTCCAGGACAGGCTCCAAAAGCAATACAGAAAAACCCTGTCTCAAAAAACAAGACAAGACAAAGCAAACAAACAAAAAGAAGGTCTTCTATTACATATTCTTATTATTTTTCATTTTTAATACACGATGAGCATTTTTATTTGTTAATTTTAAGTATTGCAATCTCACTAAATTTTTTTGGTGTAGTAATGGTATCTTTCTGGTTATGCAATGATAAGGTAAAACCTTCTTTATATCAAGAACTTATTTACATTATTTAGCTATCATATTTCTATTAGTAAACAATATATGAACAATAAATTAATGTGTTATATATTATTATATATTATAATATATATTATATATATATTTATTTATATATAATTATATATTATTTATATATAATATGTGTATATATATTAGTGACATCAAAAGTAGAGCAAGTTTCCAGGGATGAAGTTACAGTATTGTATAGCAGGTGTAGATGTAGAAAGAAGGCAGTCTATGACTCAAAGGGATGTCAAAGTGCACAAGGGGATAAGACCTATCAAATGGACTCAGGGAGGTAAGGAGTGGATCACATGAAACTTTTGAGTTCTTATTTTGTTTTGTTGGCCCAGAACTTACTCATTATGTAATGCAGGTGGGCTTTGAACTCACGTCCTCAGTGTCCCAAGTACTTAGAGTACAGACATGAGCTCCTATTCCTGACTTTTAGTTATTGATGTATCATTGGCTTTTGTTTGCAGGGAGATATGAAACCATTGGAGGAGGTCTTAGAGAAGGGTCAGGACAGTTCTGACTTACGTTTCCCATAGAACACACAAACCCTAGAGAGTCACTAGCCTGGATTCATAGAAATGGAATAACTTTCTGGAGGTGATGGAGCTGGGATTTGAACCCAGGTCTCCTTATCTGAAGTCCTTGTCCTGTCTGCCACAAGCATTTTTTTCCTAATGTATTGGGTACAAACACTTTATTATGTATACTTCTGATGTCTCTGTTTTATGATTTCCCCCATTTTTGTGGAGAGTGAGGCTGTGTCTGAGCTGTGTTTTTTTTTTTCACTCTTTCCAAAAATAAATATTCATTCCTGCTGTGTGTGTGTGTCATGATGAATTGTACCATGGACGATAAAGGAGGTGGACAAACATCCCCTGTCTCAGGAAATTTATAGACTGCCTGTAAAGAGAAGACAGGAGTTATATTGAAATTATTTATATTCAACGATTTTCACTTTGGGGGGATTCTTGCTTGTCTCATTTAATTACCTCAAACAAAATTGCCACTTCTTTTCCAAGAATCTCCCCAACTGAGAAGGGGAAGTGGACCAAAATGTGGGATTTCCTTTTCGATTTTATGGATTTTGACTCCCAGCCTGACTGTGCAGTCAGCACGGTGAAAGACAGCTCCCCCCCACGCCCCTAAGCCTTGTAAACCCCACCTGTGATCGGAAAATCCAGCTGTGCATGTTCTATTTCTCGCCTCATTGCTAGGAATAAAGATTCAGCAATCCCTGCTTAAGTGACAGTGCTGCCTGTAACACCTGCGGCAACACACAGGACCAGCTCCACAGTTCTCATGGGGCAAAGTGTTAGTCAGGAAAAGGAGATGGGCTGGGAGCCTCCAACTCCCTCCCTCACCGGCAGCCTCAGGCAGCAGGCTCCACTCCTTAAGGCCAGACGCTACAGCCCACGCCTTGATGCAGACAATGTGACATGACCAAAAGAGAACACTGAGTCTAAAGACCACTGTCACTCCTGGTCACTATTTCTCAGGACTGACTCCTGACAGTGGGGCTGCTGGCCTTTCTGTAAGAGTCTAAGAAAGCACCCTTTTCAAGGGAACATATTCTGGGTAAAGATGCATGGGTTTGGGGTTAATTTTTGCCCATCATCTTCTCATGGGCTGTCCAGAAAATGAATGGTGAAGCTCTCTAGCTTTCCAAGACATCGTGGGCTGCTTTAGGGTCTTGCAAAATCTATACTAGAAGACTATATATAGCAGCTGACTTTTACAACTCCTAAAGTCCTTGTTAGGAAGTTCATTCCGATCGGCTTGGTTTGCTTCCATAGTCTATGTGAACACTCGCATTCTCTCACTCCACAGATCACAGTATCCCACCTATGACCCTCCCAGAAATAGACGAATTTCGTCTTAGTCAGTTTGTTCCGTCTTTCCCTACAGTGAAAATCCACACAGGGTTCCTTTCATTCTCCCTTCTTCTTCCTATTTATTTATTTATTTATTTATTTATTTATTTATTTTATTTTTGACAGGTTCTTTCTACACAGATCAGTTTGGCTTTGAATTCATGATCCTCCTGCCTCAGCCTCTGGAGTGCTGGGGTTAAAAGTGTGAACCACTATGCCTGCCCCACTTAAATTATTTTTAATTAACTTTCATTGATTCTTTGTGGCTTTTGTATCATGCATCCTGATAAACAATTATTCTTAATACTCTATGGTTTGGGAACTGTTACCGCTTGCTTAACAAGGCCGTTTCTCACACTACTGTATGCTCAAGTCATTCATTCATCTTGTAGGTCTTAAGAGCTTACACAAGGCACCCTGAGACCCTGCACCCATACTGATGCTGTGAGAGGCAGGGGGTTCAGGAGTGTCAGTCATCCTTGTGCCTATTGCTCCCCTATCTCAGTGTCTCTGCTGTGATACTGCTACAGGAGGCTTTCAAAACTATGCTTTGCTTTTCTAATCAAGGTTTTAATACCTTAAAAGCTTATAAGATTCAGCATTAGATGCTATAATTAGGAAGTCTTTGGCATCTGTATACAAAATCCTTTCCAGGAAAGGCCAACCTCCCCATCTAAGGAACAAAAAGAAATAGAAACAAAATTCCCTTAAATTCCCTCCCTCCCTCTCTTCATCCTTCCCTCCCTCTTCTTTTTTCTTTACCCCACCCCCCATGTCTAGATTTTTTTCCCGCTTTTGACAGTTTCTAGTTCTGCTCATGTTTCTTGTCAATGACACGGTTTTCTTCTCTTTTGCTGTTGAACAACACTCTCTGGTCGGAGTTTCTGTCCAGCCTGGTCCCATCGCTCTTCAGCCCCAAATAAATACATCGATGTTTATATTAATTATAAACTGTTTGGCCAATGGCTTAGGTTTCTTACTGGCTAGCTCTCTCTTAATTATTAACTCGTTTCTAATAAACTATGTATTGTCACGAGGCTGTGGCTTACCTGTAATGCTCCAGCATGTTACTCTTTTATCAGCTACGTGGCATCTCCCTGGTGGCTTTTTTCTGCCTCTTCTTCCCAGAATTCTCCTGAGCTAGCAGCGCCACCAATAACACTCCACTTTGTATACACACCACCCTGCCTTTATTCACTCATTTCATGAAGGCCACTGGATTTGACTGTCGGTGGTAAACTTTCTGAGGACTTGCCCTGCATGCTGATTGAGCATCACAATGGTGATTGAGTAAGGCACGGTCTCCACTCTGGTAGACTTGAGGTTTGGGGGCATGCTCATCTATCGCATGGCAGCACATCAGTGCAGTGCCCGGCATTTGGCAGTGTTTGTTCCCTTTCTTTCCAGGTCAAGACCCAACCTAGGAACGACAGGGAGGCCCATCACCTTTGAATCTCAACTGGTTCTCCAGTCCCATAGGATTGTTTTCTTGCTGCAAAACTTTCTCGTGTTGGTCCAGTGGAAAAGACATGTGGTAACGCTATCAGGAGCCTGGGTGGAAGAAGGCACTGCAGACGTTTGTACACATTAGAGTCTAAGAAAGCGTTCCCAGTCCTTGAAGAAAACCATTACTTGGCTCACTGCAAGCTAATTGCATTTGTTCAGTCAGTGTGAAAATGGATGCAGATTGGATGAGCTATGAAACACCCTACTGTCCTACTGTTAAATCACAAAATAAAACCCCTTGTTCAGGAGACATGGCCTAGGATGAGGTTTTCACCAAGAAGTGGGAAATTGCTTGGTAAATTTCAGTTTTATGCTTAAGTGACTCTTTTAATTAATTTCTACTGACCTCCTCCTCCTCCAGCGTAACAAGTGTGAGGAGATGAAGAAAGCATCTCGCAGAACTTCTGAAGCCGGGGCATGAAGATGGATGGAAGTCGCATCCTTTCACCCTGGACAGAGCTGTAGGGTGTGGGGACCTTTTGATGGCTAGCCACAGAGGACACAGTTTCAACTCAGCACTGTATCTTTCTACCTCATGTGATAAAAGCTTACTTCTAGGGTTAGAGGCCATGTTGAGACACAAGACAAGACACAAGAAAGCAAGGAGAATCAAGTTTTAATGGGGAAAAAGTATACAACATTAAGATAAAAATACACGAGGGCATTGAGTTAAAACTCCAGTGTTCTCTTCTGCCTCATACACCATGGTACCATTGCTTTGATTGGCCTGTTGATTCCTTTCTATCATCTCATTAGTAACAATAAGAGAGGTGCTGTGTCATTTGGTTACTGTTTCCATGTGGAAGAAGTTGTGATCCTAGAGTTTTCAGAGAGATGTCCAGGCCAATCGGTGTTCTAGAACACTGCTGGTCAGTAACCCCACCATCCCTCCCAGAGACTTATCAGCAGTTTGAAGAAAAATGTCTCAGCAGAGGTCTGTATTGTTTGTTGTTTCATGTTCAACAGTGCAGAGAAATGCAAAAGGTTATGAAGCAGTGACTAGACACTTCACAGAATGAGCAATTTATTTCCAAGTAATAGTGCATTCTAGCCCTTTAAATGATCTGAAATACAGTTTGCAGAAAATCAAAGATATTTAGTATCATGTACAATCTTCCCAATGAATTAGGCAGGACACACACACACACATACACACACACACACACTTATGTGAACGCAAATGCATAGGCATATAAATCAGAAAGAAAGAGGTGAGGAAGATAGACATTCTGACCCTGAAATGTTAGCCATCCTGGATATTGGATTACATAAAGAGAAATGTGCTATAAAATTACTTCAAAATTCTACTCAAAATGTGCACATATGCAAAATCTATTCTCTGAGTCATGAAGTGGGGCTGCTGATTGATGGCTTGTCCTGGTACCTGGCTTGGACAGACAGCACTGATGTTTCAGAAGTAACCTGGAGACAGTTGTCATTTGTTCTTTTTGGAGCTATAATGACTCAGCAAAGGGTGAAGACAGAGTCTTTAGACTGCAGTATGTTGGTGACTCCTGTTTCCCCCTGGGTCACAGAGCCTGTGTGCACTTGCACAGCGAGAGCCTGCTGACTCTCCACTAAATGCTGTTTTGTTTAAATTGCTGAGTCTGAGGTGACACTTCCTCTCGGCTCCTGTTCTCTATAGTGCAGAAACCATTAACTACTTATTTGGGAAGCTGCACGAACTACACTTCCAGTTGCTTAATACACAGGCTCACCATTTTTGCTTTATTTTAAAACATTCGGATACACACCTATTTTTCCTGCCTCTCTTTTTCTTTTTCTTTCTTGCATGGGTATAAATGTTAAATCTTCTATTTCTAGCAAAAGGAAGAAACTCACATTTATTCTTTGGGAGGTGTGTTTATTTGTTTGTGTTCTTTACAGTCCATAGATTCTTTGGTCAACATCACAGCTTCTCTTCCAAAAATGACAACAAACAAGTTGCTTTTAGGCTATGAGTGGTCTCTTTACAAAAAACAAAAACCAAAAAACAAAACCCCAAAAAACAAAACAAAAAACCAAACCAAACCAAAACAACAGCAAAAACCCAAACAACAACAACAACAACAACAACAACAACAAACAAACCAAATACCCCTCCATAAAAGCTTTCCATATTCATTTCCAACTTTCAATTTTTTCCCCTGTAGACCACTCCATCTTGAACCCTACAGAGATGCCCTTCTGGTGATTGTAGATAAATTCTTTATGGCTGATCGCTGGATTTAAAACAAATGTCTATCAGTAAGAAACAGTTTCCCAAGATGCCATCAGATTTTAGAGTCGGGGTTGAATTCTGTGCTCTTAATTACTCATGTGTCTTGATTTACACACTTTCTCAGTTAATTACAGATAAAATATCATTCTTGGTGTACATCATTTTTGGTGTAGATCAAGTTTCTACTCTTGGGCTTGGCTTCATCTAGATCCAAGAGTTTGCAATATGAATAGAGGGAAGCAAAAGACTCTATGTTCAGGTGCTGGAGTTGGACCCTAGCCTGCTTTAAGAGAGAAAAAGTAAAGGTATTGCCTAGACAAAGATGGAAAAAGAAAAGCTAGTGCTCCTAGGGGCCTGGGTAAATCCCAGGGATTTATCTCCTTCTCTTCATCTTCCCTGGTTTACTGAAGTTCAAAGCAAAGGTGACCTTAAAGATCAGCTGCTGCAATCCATCGTTTATAGAGAACACTGAGCGCCTCTGGGGGCTGATGCCCAGTCAATAGCAGAAGTAGGACTAGGTAGGGTGGGGCTCCTGATTTGCACAATTCTTTTCATTGCCAACCATGTTTCCTATAGACCATGTTTCAAAATGAAAGCTGTGGACCATCTTTCCCACAGGGGCTGCATGGGGGATATGTCAGTGCATATGAGGGACCAGAGGGCAAGGAATTGGGGAGCCTTGAGGACTCTGGGGCTTCTATAGACCATTCGGCCATGTTCTAACTTCCTTCTCTTTTCAAAGCATCTGCCCAGGATCCTTTGTCTAACTCTAGGGGCTTTCTGAGTCCCCCTCTGTAAATGGCTAAGATCCCAGTGCTTTGACATCAGTCTAAAATTGGATTGATGTGTAGATATTTGTCTAGTTGGAATTTTTGAGAATTATCTACTTTTACTCGAGCAGTTGTATTCTGCCCTGTCTGTCTTGTTTTTCCCTGTCTCTCATGCTCTGCTCTTCAGACAGAATCTATTGCTTTTGGTATTTTTGCTCCCTATCTCCCATATCTGTTGAATGCCAGGTTCTCAGGAGGAGTGGAGACCTGATCGCTGTGGCGTGATGGAGACCTGCGCTCCAGTTAATGCCGGCTTTGTAGCATGATGGACATGGCTGTAATGAGAATCTCAAGGTGGGCATTTATATCACCACTGTTTTGTTACCGGATCTGAAGCCATAGGCTAAGCTCTCAATATCCAAGTCCCTTCATCTAAGAATGAAGATAGCTCAACCAGATCTACTTAACTAGCAGTACTGTGAAAATGAAATCTAGGTATCAAACCACTTTTACAGGTTTGGAAATGCTGGGCAAACAAAACAGTTGGACATTACGTGTCTTCCCCTTCTCCCCCCAGAAAATCCCGTTAAATTCAATAGGCTTTATTTTGTTTTAAGTTGAAAGCACTTTTTAAAGAACTAATGATGTCTAGGGGGAAAAAAGAGCCATGCAATTTCAAACAAAGGAAAATTGTTCTGTTTTAGAATTCTCTAGTCTGTCCCCTTGGGTCACACTGCTCATTGTTCTATGTTCCTCTGAGTGCTGTTGGCTACTGAGTGAGCTCACAGTGGCATAGGGCAGATGGCCAGTTCACCTCACTATGAGTGAGGAGCAGGGAAGCTGCTGTCCTGTCTGTTGGCTGGTCCAGGAGCCCCCATTGTGGGGAACTGTGCTGACTGCCTCTGGTACAGACTTCTAGACGTCGGGCCCCACACACCCAAACACTTCCAAGCCATGTGGGAATCCCAGGATTACAGAGCTGAGTCCTCAGATCTGGAATGTCCCTCTGGGTTTTGAGGGTTTGGTCTTCGGCTTGGAGCACAGCATTAAGCAATGGTTGAAGCCAGAACTGTGGGTTTTCAGTGCTCAGAACTTAGGATGTTTGGGGAGGAGGAGTGAGAAACATTGATCATCCAGAGGCCAGCCCAGGAAGCAGACCGAAGAGAGTGGGTGGGCATGGGAAGAGAGTGTTGGACACAAGACCAGGAAGAGGTGATGCTTCACTCTGCTGCAAGAAGGAGGACTGGGGAGCAATGGTGGTTTTCCCTGGAAGCACCATGGCCGCCGCTGTAGTTCATGAGGTTCTGCATGTGTTAGTAACAGAGTGCAGTGTCACAGGGGAAGAGAGTCACCAGATCAGGCTAGGATTAGGGAGCTTAGTAGTCAGGTGTCTATGTGTCACCAGGACGTAGGAGACGCCTGCCAGATTGTAAAGGACTCTTCCCTTTGGGCTTGTAGGGATTTTGAATTGTCTAAATATTCCTCTTTTCCTATTTTGATGCCGAGATGTCTTTCCACCCTTGCAGTTGTAAACCTTCTGCCATGTTGTGTTATGCTGTGTTATGCTCTCTTGTGCTTGCTGTATCTCCAGGCCATTTTTTTTTTTTTGTGTGTGTGATAATAAGTTAATTCTAACCAACCTTCCCACTGATTCTAACATTTACTATAGTTCCACCATCCTTGAAACTTAGCTCAGGACTGCAAAAGGGAAAGAAAAGAAATGAAAGATTCCCTTTGCAGTCTTCTGTACTGTGTGGAAAATGTCATGGGTGGGGAGGAATTCTGAATGATCCTAGATAGGAATCTGAGCCAGAATCCTTAGGGAGGCACAGGAGAAACCAGGGCTCACCCACCTAGTTTAACCCCAGGAAATGGAAATCCCATTTAAGATAAGATGACAAATCAAATGCAGACAGGAGACATGAGAATTGCTTCATCTTGCTTGAGATTTGGAGAGCTTCTTGACTAGCATTCATTTCAGAGACCACAGTTTCTAGACAGTTCTTGCTTCACTTCCTTTATTACTTCAGTTTTGTGGGCATATGTAGCACCTCCCTGTTTTTATTCTACATGTCTTTTAGGGACACTTTCAGCATATATGCAGATACTCCTTGATTTGGATGGAGTTACAGCTCCATAAGCCCACTACAAGTTGCAGAGGTGTTCAGTCTATGTGGTCTGCAGAGCACCTGCCGTAGTCACATAGGGCACTGTACTGTCTGGCTGTCTCCTTTCATGAACTCAGGGCTGATGGGAAAGGACAGCTTGCTGATGGGTCCAGCACTACATAAAAGAGCACCTCACCACATATCTCTAGCCATGGGAAAGATCAAAGTTGGGCACATATTTTCTACTGGATAAATACTGTTTTGGAAGCATTCATTATAAGTTTGAAAAAATCATAAGTTGAATCTTCATAAGCTAGAGACTTTGAGTGTGTTTGTGTACA